GAGCCAGATTGAACACTGGGCAATTTCAGGGCAGTGTCAGGGCAATTTCTGAACTCAAAATAGTGTTTGGATTTTCACTTACAAAATCTTTACTGCTTGATTTTGATCTACAATATAAGACAAATCTTCATTTATATCTTGATAGGATATCTTGGAGAGAAGACTCTATATGGCTCCCAATTGAAATTCTATTCAAATAGTTCTATTAACTTCTCTGACTGACTTCTAGCTGTTGCCAAGCATGAAGAATTAAACTGCCTATTCTAAAATGTGTCAGAAAGACCACATTTTAGAGTCTCCATCAAAAACTGACAAAGCATTAAAGAAGCAGCCCTGCCACTGCTGGGCCTGACTGCTAATGAGAAGAGAGGACTGTGCTCAGTGTCACCTCTGAAAGCTCCTGGAGCAAAATCAAGGAATATCACAGGTTTGTAAGCACAGCCTGCAGCCAAGGTACAGCATTTATGTACACCTTTTGGGTGTAAAACTTGTTCATTTCTTCTACAAAAGCCACTGTTATGCACTAAAGTCTTTCATTTCCTCTGTCACTAGTGAATACATGGTTACCCTTGAAGTTTGCAGGTTTTGCATGAAGGCATACCTGCTGAAATGTATTTCCATAGCCAAGTACTGCGTGGAGAGGGTGGGTTTGGAGAGGGTCTTTTGGATCTTTTTCCAAAGTATGCATTTACTCCACCCAGAAATATTCAATTAGGCAGGTATGCTTCAGCAAGTTAAAATTACTTAAATCATCCCAAATGCCTGTAATTTCTGCCTTACTTGTTTCATTAGGAGAAAATACTGATATGTTAAATGTTTCCTTAGCCAAAAAATAAAGAATAAAATCCATTCACTGCAGCCTAAATACCTTTGATTTATGGATCTCTGGTTCATCCTGACAGCTGCTTAAAAATTCATGTCAAACTCTGCATTCATGTTGGCCAGAAAAAGAAAAGAAATGTGTTAGGGAACAGGAGTGCCACAAAATGCAGCTCCCACTGTGGGTGTGTTTAATGAAAGGCAGGGGTAGCATTTAACTTGCCAGGGAAGCATCAGTACATGTTACTAGATCCTTTCTCTTTTTTAAATCTGTTGAGCAAATGTGTACTTGGGCATAAAAATGCACCTCTAACACTGATGTCTCATTATGTTCCCTTCTTTAATTTGCATTCTTTTGTGTATGTTGCAGCTTATGTGAAACTGAGATAATACAAATATTTTGTTTAAAAAAGGAGAAGGGAGAAATAAGTTATTTTATTTTTCTTTTTTTTTCTTCCTAATATGAACATACATGATATTAAAAACATAGCTTAATAACATGATTGATAAATAGCATTGTCTATTATGTCTTGGAGAAATTATAATAACATCAGTAAAATATTTTTTTTTAATCTGATTATTATTTATCACTGCTCTGATTATTTTTTCCAACAATGCTTCATTACAAGTGCTAATTTTTTCCAAGAAAATAACCAGGTAGCCTGAAATTTTAATTTATTAAGGGTTTGAATAAATAAAAGCAGCTGCTTTCCTCTTGGAATAACAGTGTCTTCTACATTTTTATTTAGTATAGTAGTTTTATTTAATATATATCCATGGCTTAGTGTCCTGTGTCCAGAAATATATTAAACCTATATTAAATATGATAAACTATAATATAATTGAACATAATTAAACACGTGGTTAAAGTTTTTTTAGACATGCAAGATTCAAGACAATTAAATTGTTAAGATACTACCTGTATGTTCTACTGGAAATGGGTTTATCTCTATCTCCATTTTCACAGGCTTTTAGGTGATGTCCATGCAGTGTCCTAGGTTGTACTGATGATGATGTTAAAGGTCAGCACTGGCTAAGTCAGTTGGACAGAGTGGTGGCTTTTGAGAGCAGGGATTAAATTCAGTAATTTTGGCTGTGGAATTTTTCACTCTGGGTTTTTTTTTTTTGCCTATGCATAAGATTGGTGCTTTGGTTTTCCTGTAGAATGAATTTAATTTATTTTTTTTTAAGACGGGGAAAAGAACAAAGGAAGCCATGTGGACAGCTAAGCCCTGCTCCAGACAATTTTTCTTTTTGACTGCAGGAAAATTACTGGCATGGCACCAGTGCCCTTCTCAGCCACTTTGAGACTTGGCAAATTCTCCCTAGGCCATTAGGGTAATGTTTGCATTAGCCTTTTGTAATAAAAGGGTATCAGAAGAGTTGCAAGGCTAGATTTACCTTGACTGCTGATGGTGGTCTCTTGGAAGAAAAAAATAAAGGGGAATAGCTGAAAAACAGTAATGCTTTATGGAAGAGTATCAGCAGGAAGGTTAAGTTTCCAGTCATGAATATCTAAAACTCCTGACTCGGCCAAACATTTGATCCTCTCTATTCATTGACTGGCCTGTTCATAATCAGGGAAGCATTATGATGGAAAGCCTCATGAGAGGAAGAGGGGTGGTGTTTACACTTCTGCTCTGAGACTTGAGAGAGGAGGGTTCAGTTCCCAGCTTCATAGCAGATTTCTCTGAGTAGCAGCAGTCTGCCACAGCTATTTCACTACCTTCAGTGATGCAGGCAGCCAGCAGAATTTTATAAAGTTTCCACCACAATTAGTGTTTCCTGCAGAACACCACCGCCCTGTGTATATCCAAACTCCTGCCAAAAACCTCATGGTCTTCAGCATCCAAATCCATCTGAAAACCTGGTTTGTACCTCCCAGGGTTTCTTAGTGAAGAAATGCCTGACCTGGACTTTGAAAACCGGGATACAGTGCTGAACTGGTGAAGCTCACATTGGATACCAGCTTGGAGGGAGAGGGATGCTGTTGAAAATGCAAGTCACCCTCCCATACCTCCATTTGTGGCTGAGCGATCCCTTCCCATCTCCATGAATGCCCCTCTGAACACAGTGCTTTCCCCTCCTGCTACAGTCAAAATACTGACAGCCATGGGATCAACAACATCAGCAGATTTCCTGGGATTTCACGTGAAATTCTGAGGCCCTACCCCAGCATAGCTCTTTGAGTTCAGACACCCCCGGTTTGTACCTTTCTAAATGCCAGTTTGTGAACATTTGCTGTTGTTCCTAGCACATTTTTACATTACAATACACCTGTCTGTCCTTAGCTACTTAGAACAATTGGCTATTGCAAAACATAGTTTAGGTGTAAAAATTGTCTACATGCTTGTTTAATGAAGTGAAAGAACAGAATATCCCTAACATTAAACTGTGAGGCCATAAAAGGCATTTAACGACCTAGTGATTCCCAGATAATTTCAGACATATATTATGTGGTCTTATACACAGAGGACTTAAAATTGAAAAGAAAATAGTTTCAGCAATGTGTGATGCAAGTAACATCAAACACTACTGTACAGAGAGGAAAACTAGTGTGGAGTTGGGAATAACTAGATCAGTGGAGGGCCCAGTTCACAGGGTCATGACAGAAGGCTTGGCAGGACTGTAGGAAGTCCCTGCTTCATCCCATTAGTGGGATTTTGCTGCCTCAGCTGTGCTGACTTTCATCCTTGTGGGGCTGTGCTGCACGCTGTGTCAGGGGCTGATATGGGCTGCAGAGGCGATTTTTTGTGGAATTAAACAATGATCTTGACTTTAAATTTGTATCAGTTGGAGAGTCAAGCTTCCAGCAAAGAGTCCCAAATTGCTCTATGGGCTTGGACTGTGGGGAGCCACTGGGAACATGTTGAGCTGCTCTTTGGTTGCCAGCCTGGTGCAAGAGCAGTGATGCTTTGGCATTTCTGGTTGTGAAACCATGTGGGAATCTGTGATTGAAAGTGTTTCTGATTTGGATGCAGAGTTTGGAGGGGCTTCTCTGACAGACTCATGACCCTGCAAAACAGACTGTGATAAATGTATATGGAGTGTTGGATGCAGTGTACCTCCCTGTTTGCAGTGTTTACAGCAGTATCATCCAGATAAGCCTCAGAAGTCCTAGAAATCTGTGTTTATCTCAACCCATGGAACACATTGTACGTATCTCACCAAGATTAGTATGTAGAAACACAGTGTGTGACTGGTTTCAGTGGAAACCTTCACCAGATCCATCTGACTTTCCTCTTGGTAAACAGGAGGGAAGAGCAGAAGAAAGCACAGACAGATTTATTGTTACTTTTTGCCAAAACTGAACAAATCAGACGGTTGGACAATCACCAACCATAGGAAGTTCAACAAGGGAAAGGGCCAGATTCTGCACCTGGAATGAGACAACCCTGGATGTACAGACAGGGAAATGAGGGGCTGGAGAGCAGCGCTGTGCAAAGGGCCCTGGGGGTCCTGCTCGATGGAAAGCTGAGTGTGAGTCAGCAGTGCCCTGAGGAGCAGGGCCAGGAGGGCAACTGTGTCCTGGGGGGCACCAGGCACAGCATGGCCAGCTGGGCAAGGGAGGGGATTGTCCTGCTCTGCTCTGCACTGGGGCGGCCTCACCTCCAGTGCTGGGGGCAGTTTGGGGTGCCACAGTATAAAAAAGACATGAAGCCATTAGAGAGTGTCCAAAGGAGGACCATGAGGATGGTGAAGGGCCTTGAGGGGAAGCTGTATGAGGAGTGGCTGAGGTCACTTGGTCTGTTCAGCCTGGAGGGGAGGCGACTGAGGAGAGACCTCAGTGTGATTATAACTTCATCAGGAGGGGAAGCAGCAGGGCAGGCACTGATCTCTTCTCTCCAGTGAGCAGTTATTGGACACAAAGAAATGGCATGAAGTTGTGTCGGGAGATTTAGGTTGGATATTAAGATTTTTTCACCGAAAGGGTAGTTGGGCACTGGAACAGCCTCCCCAGGGAAGTGGTCACAGAACCAAGCCTGACAGAGTTCAAGAAGCATTTGGACAAAGTTCTCAGGCACATGGTGGAATTCTTGGAATGTCCTGTGCAGGGTCAGGAGTTGGACTTCAGTGATCTTTGTGAGTCCCTTCCAACTCAGGATAATCTGTGATTCCATGATTGCCTTTTGGTGATCACTTGTTTTACTTAAGGGTCCCTTTCTCTCTCTGTCTGATAGGCTTAGAAGATGTTGTAGCAATAATGATTCCTGAACCCAAAGGAAAAGAGATAGTGAGCCTCCTGGAGAGGAACATTACTGTGATGATGTACATAACCATCGGGACTCGCAACCTGCAGAAGTACGTCAGCCGGACCTCGGTGGTGTTCGTCTCCATCTCCTTCATTGTGCTGATGATCATCTCCTTAGCATGGCTGGTCTTCTACTACATCCAGAGATTTCGCTACGCAAATGCCAGAGACAGAAATCAGGTGAGCAGGGCTGGAGTAACAGCTTGTGTTTCCAAAAAATCACCAGAGGATTTATTGTAGAAGTAAAAGTTAAAGAAATTGTCAACGTGTAGAAAAAACAGAAAACTAGAAGAAAGCCCAAGAAAGTGAAAAGAATAGGAATATTAAAGTGACTGGGAAAATCCAAGACTTATGTCAGTATAGATGGGATTCAAGAAAAAAAAGAAATGAATAGTGTATGTATATTATGGGGTTTTTTCCTTATGCAAAACACAAAAAAATAGGCAGAAAGGTGATGTTTATTTGTGAAAATATTGTTGTGGTGCATATAGCCAAATGTTATAGCAATATGTATAACTAAGGACCCTTGAGATCAAAATGCTAACTAAAACATTGTGAGGTATGTGTGTGTGAAGCAATGTTCATGGTGAGTGAAGAAAGCGGGGGAAAAAGCCTATTCTCACTTTAATGCTTCCTTAGAAGGGTCTTGGGCTAGAAAGACAAATATGTCCCTCTTCATTTGACAATGATCACTGAACAGGAGTGTAGTGACAGTCACTAATTATTAAACCATTGTTATTGGTTTTGGCATCTTGTCCAAAGCCCTTGAAAGAGATAAAAAGCCTATAGAGCTGAAGAGAAGTCAGTAGCAATGGTTTCATAAAGCATTGCCCATATTTATGGTAGTTCAGCAGTAAATAATAATAACAATAATAATAAATTTAATATTTTCTTGGCCAGATGCAACTATCTCAGCAGAACTGGGAAGCTGGGGCTTGTGCATTTCATTCTAATGGTGTAGTAGAAAATGTTATCAATGTATGAAATTTGAAGAGATAACCATTTTATTGCACTGTAAAAAATGCACTGTAATCAGAGAGGTTTCTAAATGCTCAATAAATTACTGTCAGGACCAGGAGGGCCACCTTGCTTATTCTGCAGAAAAGGTAAAATTCAGAGTATAAATAATCGTCTTGTAGAGAAAAACCCTGCTACACACTCTTTAACAAATACTTGACATGTAGGAATCCCTCGCCTTCCCCCACTGAAATTCAGGCATCCTCTGAGATAGGGAGCAGCTGCTCTGTATTTACAGACAGAAAGAATGTATTTTCCACTTAAATATACAGTCTGGAATTTTGGATAGCAAGAACAAGACTATCCCAGCTGGAATTTGAACATCATTGGCAGCAGATTCACTTTGACTGCAATGGCTGTGATAATTTTTAGATGCTTTGTCTGCAAAAGCACATGCCTGCCTTATTTGTGTGTGTGAGTAAGTGTGCTTTCAGTCAAGTAATTACACTGGCAGCTTAGCAGGGTAAATTGACATACATAAACATGGAACTCATCAAAATAAGGAGCTCATTCAGGTAATATGTTATAGTTTGAAACTGATGTGTTTATATGTTGAAACATATTTCCTTTTTGGTATTTTCTTTCCAAAGTTTGAAGGAGACCACATGTGCACAAGCAGTTGTCCTATGGAGGGGTTTTAATAACTTGGTTTTTATATTAGTTCTCTTATTTAGAAGAATTAGAAAGGATGCCTCCTAAGTAATTACATATTATTAATTATTAATATTATTATTTTGGAGGGAAAAACTGGGCAATAATAAGGGGCAACCTAAAAAGTCTTCATGGAGTTTTCTTCATACAGTTTTGTCTGACATCTAATCTCTTTATTAGCTCTTTTCATATGAAAATGGTAGCAATATATAAACAAAACTCTGTTATTTGTGTTAATGGGTTGGTGTGGCTTTTTAGTTTTGTTTCCTTTAGTCCTGGCTACAGAATTTAAATGCTGTAGGTAGTTCTGAGGAGCTCAGCTTGCTCTTGCCCTTCCCATGAGTGTTCCTCTTTGTTTTCCCTCAGGTTCTGGGTTTTTTTTTCTTTGACACATTTTCTTGTAGCTCAAGGATGGGATCACAAATTTCTGATTAAAATCATACTGTCCTTTTGTAAAGCCTCATAAACACTTTTGTCTAGTCCTTCTCTGTCTGGTGACTCTCCTTTCCAGGTGCACTTCCCTTCTTTCATTAGGCGTAAGGTTTTGAGCAAGCAGTAAATCCAAAACAAAATGATTTAATTATCCATCAAGAAAGCAGTGAGTCCAGCTATTGAGAGAGACAGCTAGAAAGACTGAAAAATCTCCTGGAATCATTTCCTGTGACTCCACAGTGAGACGAAAACTGGACATAGTCCATCTATATCTTCAGCTACCAGTCTTACTCATCATGTGTGCAAAATCTAAGATCACATGCCAGAAGGAAGACACAGCTTACTCCAGTTAGGTGCCTGATTTTGATGAGTGGAGAATCAGGATTTCAAAGATTCTTGTTGAATGCCAGGGTCTATTCATCCCCACTTGGCTGAGAATCAATGCAGTAGAGCACAGAATTGTCTTCCACTATGGGCTTGTGCACCTACAGCCAGGGTGTCAGCTGCAAACATGGTGAGATACTAATTTTTATTTTAATACATTTAATTTGTAAGAGTATCTCTAGCACAGACTACTGTACATTGTATATGGAAGTAGAAGATACGTAGTAGTATTCACATGATTGAACCTTTTTTCCTCACCTAATGAGATGTCCAGGAAGTTGGTGGGTGCCTTGATGATGAATCCTTTTGACAAGAAGAGAATAAATTTGTGTAAGAGAATCTGTTTCTTCATCAGCTTGTTACTAGAGGGCTCTTGAAGATGAGAGAGTTGAGAGATTTTGTAAAAGGCTGTGGAAATTGTTTAAATCCAGAAATATCACATTGTAGAGCTAATTAGAAGCAGAATTAGAATTACATGACAAGTTAAGTTCCAGAGATAATTCAGCAAAATATGACCTCATGTTACAGCCCTGTAACAGCCAGGGCACAGACTTAAAACAGGGCACAGCTACAACAACAACAAACCAACCCTGTCTGTCTGTCAGAGCTTTTCATATTTCACCAGTAATACTAGAGTTCTTTTTTTATTGTTTGTGACATGAGAAAATGAAGAGGTGGTGATGTTTCAGTTCCAGACTTATTTACCACATTTTTCAATGTCCCTTCTTTCCACTGGCTTCTTGTTCAGAGGAAGTTTTCTACACAGTCATTTTGAAACTGGTTGTACTCCTTAAGTTTTGCAGGATAGTGGAAGCCAAAGCAGGTAGTGATTGCACTGGACTTGAGGATCTTGTGTGTCCCGGGTTAATCTTTAGTATGTGACTGTCAGCATGTAGAGCATTTATCTAAGAAGGAACACTGGTGGCTGTGGCTTGGAATGAGTGTTTTAGGCCACTGTACAGGGATGTCAATCTTTGAAGCAATTTGGGAAGATGTTTCCCATGATGGAGTCTGCAGCCTTTGTCTCTGGTTAGATGTTTGATACCTGTGCTGGTGATGCATCTCATTCTGCACAAGGCACAAGGTGATCTCCTTGCAAAGATGATAGTTTAGTAAGGCCATTAAGGGAGAAGCACTTACTGTAACTTTTCTCCTCCACAGCATCTCTGGTCATTTACTTTCTCAGGAGTACATAAGTGGTCCTTTCCATGCGACTGTCCTTCCTTTTTAATGAGCATTGCCATCTCCTCAAGACCACTGCATCTGACGTGCTTAACTCCTTCCAGTCCAGTACTGAATGTTGCAGCATTGCTAAAGAGATTATGAGATTTATGACTGTAAATCTCTAAGCCTCACTTTAAACTCTTAAACTGCTGTAATGCCTCTTATCTTTTGGGAAAAAATAATTGGTTATTGATAGCATGCCTTGCTGTTCAAATGGGAGAATCCTTTGAAAGTATGCCTTTAGTCCAAGAAATCCCTGTTCTTTCAAAAACTAAATTACTCTCATTTACATGTAAGTTATGAACTTATCTATTTACAGTGGATAAGAGAAAGCAAACATGAAAGCAAGCAAATCAAAGATGTACAGGAGTTTTTGATCTTGTCCTTTCCCCTTCAAGAATATGCAAAAAAGAATGAGGCATTTCTTTCATTAAAATAATAATATTGATAAAAAGGGATCACAAGCACTTTCTGGAGCATGACATAATAGCTCTTGTCTGGCTGTATGTTAACAATCTGTCTTTGATTTACATTAAAGAACCAAATAGCTGACAAGAAATGTTTCCAACTCTCATTCATTCTTTTATTTAAGGGAGACTGAGAAAAATGGACCACAGAAAGAGATGTTGTCTAACTACAAGATACTCCTTCACATGCAATAATTAAGTTGCTGGAAAGCTCATATGTAAATCTCCTGATAGTCAAGATTGTTTTGACCTCTTTAGCTAGATCTGAAATTGCACTCTTCTTTCAATATTGCATGTCTTTTGTCAGCCTTTCCAATCCAACAAGCTTACTCTGTAAATTTAATTTTGTGATTTTAATTGAAAGTGAAGACCAAAGTGGCAATTTACTGGTCATATCTGTGTGGTGATTAGGTCTCAACTTATAAATTGCCTCAAACTTCCTTCTGTTTTTGGCCTCATGCTCTCACCCCCTCCAGCTGGAAACTCTTCCTGCTGACAGGCCCCTCTGAACTCTGGCACATGAGTTTCCAAGATCAGAATGTTAAATGAATCACCAAGGCCCTAAGTCTCCTCTCTAGCAACACATGGCTGGACATGTGGTTGGGGAGAGGAGGTGAAGGGAAGAGTTCAAGTCATTTATTGGTGGCAAATTGGAACGTGCTGTATCATGAACTGTTATAAAGATGACATTGCAGTGGACACTGCTGCATGAAACCATGTGAGAGAGGCATAGAAAAAATGGGGAGTGCCCAAAGCAGGGTCACCAGTATGGTCTGGGGGCAGAAGCAGATGGTGTCTGAGGAGGGGTCAAGGGAGCATACTAAGCTGGGTGGGGAGCCAAGGAGGAGGAAGGGCTCTGCTTCCAGCTGCAAAAAGGGTGGTCAGAGAGGAGTCAGAATCAGCCTCTTCCTGGAAGTGCACAGAGTAATGGTCACAAATTACCAGAAAGGGAAATTCCATTAGTATGTTTAGAGAAGAAAAAATGCTGAGATTGGTTAAGCACTGGAACAAATTATCCACAGAGGTTGTGAAATTTCCTTTCTTGGAGATAGTCAAAACTTGACTAACACAGTTCTGACTTTGAAGTTGACCCAGTCTTGAGCAGGGGTTGGGAATGCATGACCTCCCAAAGACTTTTCCAGCCTGTGAGTCTGTCTCCGGACTGCCTTGCTGCTAGATTTTGTGTTGTTAGCACAAGTGAGCAGCCAAGTCCTTGGAGCACTGATACAGGAACAAGCTCTGTAGCACAGGGTGCTGACCAGTAACTGTGTGAACTGCCCTGCGATGTTCCCAGCCTCTTAGATATGTCCATTTGCAGTATCTGAGGACAGGGTGTTTTGTGTCAGGCTGTTATTACATACTTTAATCCTGGTGGCTGTGACCCTGCCAGCACAGTAACAGTGTTTTGGAAATATGGGAGAACAGTCAGAAACATCACGTGGTAATCACTTTATGCTCCACTGGAGGGAATGATAGAAAGGCAAAGAATAAGCAAATGGTTATGTATGGGCAGGAGGTTACTGCAGGACTATATAGTGCTTTACCCATAAGAAACTGCAGATGCTTCCACCTCATTTTTATAAAGTAGGCAACTCTGTATTGCAGGAAAAAAGACAGGAGAGATTATTCAGTGTTTTTGTTGTTAAAAAATTAACAGCTCACTTTCAGAAGTTGTAGCCTCCTGAAGATAATGAACTAGTTATGGAACAATGTAAGAATAAAGTTCAGCATTCACTCTGATAACTGCCCAGTATTTTTTTTTTTAACAAGTGAGGGAAGAAGTAGGACAATCAAATAATGGACTTGTTACCTACATTAGTACACACTGCTGCAGCGTAGTACACCTGTGGTGCCCCTTTTTATGAATTATTATGTTTGTATTTATACACTATCCTGTTCCATGTTCTTAACATTATTAAGATGCCTAGGGAGAAAAAGTTTTGATTTCTGCATGAAGAGATGCTCTTTGCTTAAGAGAAAATTTTGTGTTGCAGCGCCGGCTTGGAGATGCTGCGAAGAAAGCAATCAGCAAGCTGCAAGTCAGGACAATCAGGAAAGGTGACAAGGTAATTTTTCAAAATTCTTGTTACTAAATTAAACTCTATGCTGAGGATTCCTTTAGACCTCTGGGACAATGAGGCAGAACAGAAATGCCAATTGCTTATTTAGCTACTGTGTCCTTCAGGTGGAGAAGGAGTGGAAGTTAAATGAAGCAGGGTGGGGAGAGAGGGTGATTTGGTTAAAGATGCAGAAAATTCTGAAAGTTAAAACATACCAACTAAATCTGCCTGCTTCCCAGTGCAAGTTTCCAGCTGGAAACATGTCAAAAAATCTGACTTGCTGGCTTTGAAATGCATTACTGGATTTGCAATCTGCTTCAGTGAGTGTTTTACTTTGTCACATAGGCTCTTATATGAAGAGATTAGCTAACAAAATAAAAAATGAATATGATGAATATTCTCTTTCCTGTAGGAGACTGAGCCAGACTTTGATAACTGTGCTGTTTGTATCGAAGGCTACAAGCCCAATGATGTTGTCAGGATATTGCCTTGCAGGTAAACTGAATGTGCTTTGAGCTTTAATAATCTCTACTTCAAGAAAGTCTTTGCTCTCACACTGATGAGATTACCTGAGAACTTGGGGAGGGAAGGGTGAGTTTATTATTTTGGCCTATTCCACATCTGTTGGTAAAGATATCTGAAATGCCTCTTTATTCAATGTGAAGTGAAACTAGTGGTGGTGGTGAGACCCTGAGGGTTTAGTATGGTGGTCAGAAATTTTATCCGACCTGAGCCTATAACAAAGTCTTTAGTAGGATTTTTAAACAAAAGTTTTGATTTGTCTGTTTTCCTCACTGTTTTTTATATTAGAATAAATGCCTTAGGAATATTTCCCTCTGACTTGAGAGTGAGCCCTGGCCACAGCAGCCCGGGATAGAGCAGGCTCCTGCTCCCCATTGAGCTACTTCTTCTGCTGTCCTGGGCCTGAGAAAAAGATGACTTTTGACAGAAAAAATCCCCAGCCATAGAAAGAGATGCCTCATGTGAAGATGCCCTGTGCAGCACATCCACCTGCAGTGATGTGACACAGGAGTGCAGCCTCTAGCCACCCCTAACAGCTGTACTCATCTTTGTGCTATTGTACTGTCATTTGTGAAGTGCTACCTAATGGAGGATTTCTCTAAGGAAATCAATTTCTTGAGAAATTTCCTAGGATCAGTTGTCCCTAGGAGAGCAACAGCAAGTGTTTGATTTCCATAGAAATACAGATATGAAGTGTTGCACATATAGAGCCGAGATTTTATTTTTTCAATAGAACTTCTTTCTTCTCCTGAGTCATGTTAACTGGTTTGAGAAACCAAAATACTTGTTTATTTTCCTGCTGTGTTGTACCCTAGTAGATATTTGAATGTTACAAGCTGTCCATTTCTGTTACTTCATGTGATTCATTAAATCTGTTTACTGCCATCACTAAATGGCTAACACAAAACAACAGATTAATCATAAATTTGACCTACTGCAAATCTCCCACAATGACAAATTGCATGTGAACTCTTTTATGAGCAGACACAAACACATCACTTCATGAAGCAGAAATACAGAAAAATGAGAAATTACCGGAAAATGTGGACCTTGGTTTGGCATCAAGCCTTTTTGCACAGAAGGAGAATAAAGTTTGGAAATTTTGCATGACAGAGACAGGCAGTGTTTTGTGGTAGATCTACAACAGCTTAAATATATGTCTAAGCTTCAGCTTTCACTTGTGTCCCACCTCATAATTCAATGAGCCTTTGTAATCCACGGCATTGCGTCAAGCAGAGTGAATAGGAAACACAGAGTTAACAGGTGGTGTTTAGCTCTTGGCTGGCTTAAAAGGTCACCCAGAAAATGACTCATGCTGAAAGGGTAGCAGTAGCTGAACTGTCTTGTAAAATACCCACAGTTTGAGCCTTAGTAGTCTGGAATTATAAAAACTCAAAGATCTTTCTCAAGCAGCTATTTCACCGACCCTGGCTTTCCTGCTACACAAACTGCAAGGGCAGTGTTTTACATACTTGCATGGGTTTGAACTTCTGAAACATGAAATGGTACTCATGATTCTTTCTGCTGTTTTCAATCTCATCTCCTCATCCAAAACAAAAAGGAAAGTGGATTCATTTCTGTTTCTGTGCAGTGAGTAGGAGTGTTATATCTTGATAAAGACCTACAGACTCTGTAGTTTTCCTGCTACAGTATCCTCAATTAAGCCAGGTGCATTTTCTACATAGGAACCTCATTAACTCTCCAATATAGCAGTGGATGAGTTCTGAAGTCAAAAAAATACATGTTTACTAGGACTTGGGCTGTTTTCCCAAATGCCCTCTGTTTTCTGCTGGCACTGGGATAGCTGTTTTTATGTACCCCACTCTGGAAAGCTCAGAGGAGAATTCCAAGTGAACTTGTGCTTCTTCCTCTTTGTCTTCATCAGGCAGCTCCCACAACTGACTGAAGTAAGAAACTTCACAGAGTGTATTATATAAATAAGGAATGACACTTGATAAAAGTATAAAGTGTTGACTTGCAGCTGGTTTTAAGTTTAATGGTAGCAAACATCTCTGAAGTTGTCTTTAAGGGCACTGACACAACATCAAATGTAACCAAGTTCAAGGTTCCTAGAATGACATCTCTTGTCACAGCCTTACTTCATTCTGCTTGTCTTCCATCTCCAGTTTCAAAACACCATTGCCTTTTCTGCTGTAGCTTTGGAGAAAGTACTGCTCCTGCTGCTCCCAGTCTGTGCCTTTTACTAAACTTTTACTTTAAACTTCTATAGAGAGGCAAGAGATTTCTTTCAACCTTATCTCTACTGAGTGCCTCATAGGTTCTTTTTTTTGCTTTTTCATTTCTTTCCCCAATAAACACATTCTCTGACCTCACTCCAGCTCATTCTTTTCCCCTGAACTTTCACTCCATGAACAACTGTGAGTTCAGAGAGTTATCACTCCTGCTCTCCCTTTTTATTAGCTTCTGTGAAAATTATTTCATCACACACATTCTTTTTGATTCCTTCCTCTCACCCTCATCATCTTTTGTCCTCCTCAGAAGTAAATAATGCTGTACAAGCACCCCCCAGAATCTCAAACCTTCTTGTTGGATACTACAGTGGTACTCAGTCTCTCACTAATAAAAATTCTAAATCCTTTACCTCAGCCCTAGATCTAATCCAGGCAACTGATGCTCTTACTCTAACGTTCAGGGATATTCCTCTCTTTCTGCATAGGTGAGACTAGGAGTGGTAGGTGGGAGGAGAATAGTTTCCCTTAATCTGGAAAAAAAGCCTCTCAAAATTGTTGGTATGCTGAACACATTACAATAGTTGTACTAAAACTACTATTATTATTATTATTATTATTTATTTATTTATTTATTTATTTTGGGCTGAGTGTAGCATAGTTTTTTTTCTTGTATTATTAAAATTGCATCTTTTAAAAATAATATAAATACATTTCAAACAAAAACAATGTCTAGTTTAAAAATGTGAAGTGCTATTTAGATAACAGCAAATGGAATGCTCTGGGACTGAGGTTCTTTTCCTTTGTGCTCTGTGAGCTTTGCACAGCCATGTGCAGCCACAGGAGAGTGCAGCGCAGGAGGGATCCCAGGAGGCCAGCACCTCTGGAACAGCACAGGGGCTCTGGCACGCACATGTCGTTCTTGGCAGCTTTTTCCAACACACTATGCTGTCTCCCAGGATGAAGAAAGCAACCCCCCTGATAATTTATTGCAGTGCTTCATTACCTTGACTGTGGTGAAGCCTTTCTTATTGTGTAACCTGGATCTCACTTGCTACAGTTTAAACAACTTCATTGTGCTTCTTATCCCTGGGGGAGATGAACAGTTGTTTCCTTTCCCTTTGTATGAGGTTGGGACAACATCTCACCTTCCTCTCTGTCAACTCATCAATTGCAGTTCTTTTGCAAAATTTTCAAATCAATATCAACATCATTTTGCAATGAATGTGGTTGCACACAATAGCAAAAAAACCTGTGTTTTTTTCTAGCTTTGACTTTGATTGTCAAAGCTATGTCCTGAGCCCGAGTTTGAAACATCTCTTACTGTCTTCGTGTATGGGTCATTACTTCTGAAATCACCCATGATGGCTCTATCCTCTCCTTCCATTTAAAACTTGCATCAGTCAGAGCTGCAAAGGGAGGGATTTCTGTTGTTGTTGATCTTTTTACATCTTTGTCTTACCATGGGACAGTGAAATACTGCAGTTGCTCTCATTTTACTTTATGCTGACCCTTCTTTTGCTTGAATTTGGAACATAAAACAAATGACAATCTGTTGAATGCCATAAGCATGTGCATAGTGCTGTACCTAATAAACTTTCAAATCCAAATCTGCAAAGCCTGCCCCCTTGCTTTTCTGCACAAATGTTTACATGTTCAAAAGAGACATTATAAGAACTCTAATTGTATAATGCAGTACAAAAATTTTAAAAGGCAAATCTTCATCTGATATTCAGTGGCATTCCATTATTCTGTGAATTTTTGTCAAATAATCAAGTTCCCTCTGTAGTACATATTAAATCTGAAATTAATGGAGTCATAATGCACTGTGCTAAATTAGTATTGAGATGTGCAAAGTGACAAGATCTGTCATGTTTTTAAATTACTTGGATTTATTTTAGAATATTGTTTTTGAAGCCAACTTTAGGAACAGTGAACTTCAGATTTTAAAGTCTTAAGGCATGAAAGTGTTCCAAGCTTTTGATGCTCAACAAACACCATGAAATTCTCTTATATGAACCCCGGTTTGACTGAGGCTTTCAAAGCTGGAAATGAAAACAAAAGGGAATTTTCTGGTCTCTGGTAAAATGTCTTGGTGGAAACTATGTATTTTTTATTCAAAACAGATTTTGGAAATCTGTTTTGTTTTCTGAGAGATTAATAAATATCTCAGGTTTTGTAAATGGACTGATTATTTTGGCACAAATGTGCTTCTGATGTTTGCCAGTAAGCATATTTATGAATTTGATTATATAATTAAAGAACACCAATCACTAACAACAGTTTCTTTATTATTTCATGTAACTGAAAGGTATGACATAATGAATTAACATTGACCTAACAAACTCAAGAAAATCTGTTGGTTAGACTTCTAAATGTAAAATTACAGATGCCTAAGAACTGTATCTTTATGTTTTCACCTATTTAGAATGCTTTTCTGGTAATGTGCTGAACATGCCCTTCCTAAGATAGAAGGAAGAAAATGTTAAGCAGGACAGAGACCAAAATCTGGTTCATTTGTTGTTATCCATTAGGTCAGGTTGTGTTTGGAAGTACAGCTGTGGACTTCAGTAGCCTTAGTAAAGTAGTGGCTTAAACTTCAAATATCACAATGCTTCATTTGATTAATCATATTGACATACAGGATCAAATGAGGTTTGATACCCCAGCCAGCTGATATAATTAGACTGGTCTGAACTTCCAAGAATATGTTTGCCCTTTGCCATAGTTGTATAAAGTGACACAAAGCGCAGGACCATGTAGTGACACATCTGCTGGCCCATTCAGCTGAATAAGTAGCAGTTAAATATTTAGAGTTACTTTGGTACATTAGGTGACTCTGGCTTTCTCAGAGATTGCATTTCCTTGTAGAGACTGGTATGTGTCCTGCTCCAGGCTGAGCCTTTGGATCATACAGATATTTAGGTATTTCAAGTCCAACAATAGACCCAGCACTGCCAAGCCCACCACTAAAGCATGTCCTGAAGTGCCACATCCACACCGATAAAATACCTCCAGATAACACTTCCTTGGGCAGCCTGTTCCAATCCCTGACCACCCCTGAGGTGAAGGTGTTTTCTTGTATTCCTAGTAGAAGAATATGCTCTCAAGAGAGGATACAGTCTGCCAGTCAGGTACACACACTGAATATCTCTACTGTCAATATCAGTTTGTTAAAGGCAAACCTAAACAAGAAACTTTCAGATGCTCCACCTGAATAATGTCTAGGAAAAGTGGTGCCCAGCAGCTACAGGGCTCAGGTAGCTGCTTGGTGGTCACCTCAGACTCAAAACAGGATTAACAGCAATTCCTTCAGGGAACTGTGTAGGAGCTCTCTCTGATGGGCAGCTTCTAAAGAGCAGGGAAGAGCAGAGAGAATATTTATAAAAACATTGTACTGGTTTTTCTGTTTAAATGGAAAGTTGGGGTTTTTTTCAAATGAAATTTATTTCTTTATGCCTCTGTCCTGAAAATACTAGACCCTCAATGGCTTCACATTTAAATTATGTGTAATTTGTCAGGTTTGTCTGTAGAACTATTAAGAAAAACTAGCATTATTTTTACCTTTTCCAGCAAGCAGCTTTTGTTTGCTGGCAACCTTTAACATTAAAAGAATATCGGGTTTGCTGATGCATTTTGTGTATCTTCTGTAAGTTTCTTAATTATGTGCGTCTTCTATTCCAAACACATTGAAATGTGCACATGTGCTTCAGTTGCTGCAGGAATCATTTTAGCCTTATGTGCATAGGACCTCGTTCTACAGTCCTTGAAGAGGTCACAAACTGCACCAGTTGAAATAATCTTGCTTGAAAGAATTCAAGCTCAAGAATCATCTGGTACTAAATGGTAAATTGTGCTGTGGTGCATATGAATTAAGATATCCTGGTTTTCATTGCAGGCATCTTTTCCACAAGTCCTGTGTAGACCCCTGGCTGCTAGACCATCGTACCTGCCCGATGTGTAAAATGAATATTCTAAAAGCTCTAGGGATTCCGGTAAGCACTGCAGAGCAGCCCATCAGGGCAGAGGGGAAACACCAGCCACCTGAGTATATCCCTAGCCTTTGCCTGTCTGTTCCCATCTCACTCTTTTTGCCATATGATTGAATAATTAATTGATTTATTAAGGGAAGTACAATTGGAAATGTCTGATTCTACCTCTGTCCTGCACTCCACTAGTATTAGCAAGGAAGAGTGTGTGTGTATGAGTGTTTTTTGGGATTTCTGTGTCTGTGGCTGCCTGCTTGGTGAAGCAGAAGATTGTTCACTGGTGTTTTGATGGATTTATAGACTCTTTCACATAGCTTTCAGGACTGGATTTATTTTTTTAATCATGCTCTCGGTTCGAATCTTAAAGCAGAAATTCTGCAAGTGAAATTTTCTCTGCTATACTCATCAAGGACAACAAATTGCTCATTCTGGGGAAGCAAGTCCTTTTTCTGTCAAATTTCTCTTAAAGTCTATCTGAAGCAAGGTCTGTACTCCTAATTCCAGTTAAGGGCCCTTTTTCCCAGTTACTAAGCATGTGGTGGAGCACATGACATACAAGAAATTGTTAAGCTCTTTGTTATTTGGAACATTCAAATGTGGTTAGAAACTGCCAAAGTAATTGATCTAAGTCACATGTTTGTGTTCTGCTGGTGTATGTCCTGTCTGCCATACACTTTCCCAACTGGAGCTATCACCAAGCTTAGAGGCTTCACTAGGAAGGAGTGAGTCACTGTCCTTCACTGTGCAAGGCTTGTGAAGTTCAATACTGAAACACCTCCAGTTGATGCATTACCAGGTGCTGTAAATAGCCCCCTGAGTTTCAGCCAGTGATGCACCAGTTCACATTTGAAAGAGCTATATAAAGTAAAATAGTTGTTGGGGAGCTGGTATAGCCATTCTCAGAGAAATCAGTTTCATGGAGACGAGGAAGCAGGTTGCAGGCAGATATGTTAATAAACCTAATATGATAAAATCCAAACTGAAAACATGCAAAGTAGAAAAAGAAGGAGGGCATTGTAGCTAGGGTAATTCATCAAAACAGTTTGGCTAGTTTTTCTGCTAAATGTGTATATTGTCTTAAATATATTTAGAGGTGGTGCAACTGTTAAATCGGGGCTTAAGATCAAAAGCCCAGACAAAGGCTAGCTCTGCCATTCAGCATCTCTGCACCTAGGCTTAAATACAGAAATATTTCCTCAGGTTCTATCTCAGCTCACAGGCCTGCTATGAGCAGTTACACAGGGCTCTGACACCTCTTCTCCCTACCCAGTGTATTGTTCCATGGCTTCCCTGTGCATCTGACAGCACCATACCATTTCTGCTCTCACACTGGCCCGTTCACATTTTTGTCCAAATTTGTCATTAATGTGCTCTTTGTCCAGAGCACATTGTCCAGAGCTTTGTAATCAGGGCATATAGGCAAACCAGAGCAATGCTTTCTGGGCCTGCAGTGAGATGTTAAAGGTTTCCCAGAAAGTTTAGTGCTGTTGGAATTTACATCCAGAACACGGCTCTCACTGGCTTTACTGGCTGCTGCTGAAGGCTAAGCATGTCCACAGGCTGTTTGAGGCTGGGCACAGCTAGTGGAATAAAAAACATGCCCAGAGGCCATGTGTAGAAGTTTTGGTTTACATGGCTCGATTTCATTGCCTATGAACAGCTCTAGTGGCAGGTGTAGAAGTACCTAATTGCCAGGAATAATTGAAACACCATTTCCTCAACCACTGTTTCCCTTCTCATAGCTCTCTTTCCTCTGCTGTACAGTACAGCAGAACAGGGATCTAGCTCACTCTCCTCACTGAGAGCTTTATGCATGGAGCTTCTTTGGAAATAATTGTACTGAGCATGTAATTAAAGATGCTGCTGTAACCTACGTGAACAACTGGTTCAAATTAAGATTTCCAAATCAGCTGTAGTGTTGGTCTGTCTTAATACTAAAAATAAAGCACTTGGATGTGATGTTAATGTTCCATTAGCAAAGTTTTTTTTAGGGGATTTTTTGTATGAATTTCTGTAAAAATTTCCTGTAGGTTATTCTCATACAACAAGCTGAAAACAGCCCTATTCATCTCTTGGAGGAAGCATATTGGCATACATGGATCATTGGATATGTTCATGAAGGGAGAGTCTTGTCCCTCAAAGTGACTTCCAGTAGGAGCTGCTGTCCATGGGAAATTGGAGTAAATGGTAGCCTCTGTGTCAGGTTTCCTCTGGTTTACAGCAAAGAAAGTGGAGGTATAAGAGCATCTGGTAACTTGGGGGTTAAAAATTCCTATACTGCTATCAGTTGCTCCTCTTCCTCTCTTTTTTCTACCTTCTCTTTCTGAAATATACCTCAACTCCTGTTCGTTCCTTTCCTACCTTATGCTCTCTCCTGCTTCTCCTCTGCATAACCACTCCTGCCCAGCCTGTGTCCTTTTGAGCTCCTGCTCAGCTCTCAGGACCTGTTTTCTACCTGCACAGAAATCATGTTGTCCTCATCATTCTCACTGCCCAGCACCAGCTGAGGACAGCCCAGGGTGGGCATCATTCCTAAGGTGTGCTTTCTGGTGTTCCCGTAAACCAAAAAGCCACCAACACACATGAATTGGCGTTTTTAGAGACTCATCACTTAGCCAGATGTCCATAGGCTGCTGTGGGAAAAGATATTGCCCTCAAAGAACCCGTAAAGTTCTAAAGGCTTCTCTGTGAGAGGTGGCAAACATTTCTGTAGAGTGGATAAAGCAAAATATCATTCCCTAACCACATTCCTGAGTCTTGCTGAGCCCTCTTAGCTGAAATTTCCACTCATAAAGAAGAAAAAAAGCCTTAGGCAGGCATCAAGCTCTGATGGGAGACTTGGGTGCAAATTTGCCAAAGCCTTTTTGGAGGCTTTTACAATGGGATGAATGAGGAAATCTTACCATAGACAGGCTATGGGGTTTTTTTTCCCTGCCAGCTGCATGTTTGTCCTTGGTTGTTATTAAAGACCTGGCTTGCTTGTCTGTGGATATAGTGTACTTCATTTAGCAGGAAGACATTGGATTTTCTAGGAAAGGATTGGTTAAACCCAAAATATCTAAATGTTTCAATTCAATTCACCACTAAATTCTGCATTTGCTTTGTAATAGAAACTTCAAATATTATCTACCCTAAGTTCAGATTCCCCAGGCAGCCATGAGGCACCAAAACTCCTGCACTCATCTTCACAGTCACTGAGCACCCCAACAGCTCCACTTTTTTCCACAGCACCCTGCAGCTCCAGAAGATTATTAACTATCTACCAGCAAATGGTTGGCCTGACCTTTTCCACTCTTTGCTGGAAAATCCAGCTCAGACTACACCTGCAATATTTGAAAAGGATTATTAGTGAAAGTGTCTTTCACTTTCAAAGAGCTACCTTGCTATTGGGACAATCATACCACATGAAGTAGTTTCCCTCTGCTTCTTCCCCTTTCCTGCAAACATCTGCTGGATATGCAGTCAGCTGCATTTTTGGCAGCAGATTGTATGACTTGAAGCTATTCACTAAGAGCCTTAGCCAAACCCTCTGAAGTCAATACAAAGCTTTCCCTTGACTTTAGTGGAATTGTGCTCTCAAAGCACTTACATGCAGGAAACAAGTGAAACCAATTTAATTAAACTTAGCAACTGTATCTGGGTCACTCTGGCAGCCAAAGCCATAATGGTTTGGGGTTTTGTTTTTTTGGTTTTTTCTGATCAGTGTTTAATATAAATAGTTTTACAGCATGCTCTTAGTTTTGGGTATTTTTTTCAATTAAAATTATTCAGGAGTAAAGAGATTAATTACATCAAGCAATATTATTTTTGCATCTTTAATGTTGACTTTCAATTATAATCCCCTCTTCAAAAGGTTTAAAAGTTTGTGATAAAGCCCCATTCTAGGAATAACTGGAATCAGAGCAAAGGACAGACATCTGGTCCCCTGAAAAATGGAAATTATTTTTCCTATAGGAGAAAGAAAAATAGGTTGTTTTTAATATACACTGTCATCAAAAGTAAATTAAATTTTAAATTATATTCTGAAAACATTGTTTTATAATAGCTAAGAGAGGGGGAAAGAGTGATAAGGAATAATTTTGGAATAATTTTGGGTCCCTGTCCTACAGATAAGTGATTGGTACTTCACTTGGAAAAATACAGATTCAATAAGTTTCACTAATACCTGGTATAGTTGAATGTGCCTTTTTTATCCCAAATCTGGGGCATTCTTGCTGCTTGTGGGTTAGACTGGAGCCAGACAACAACAATTCTAGTTTTCATTCCAAACTTCAGTTTGTGGATCCGAGACTGCTTAAATTGCCTTTTTCATTAGGAACACTTGTGAAAAAAATACTTAAGAGGTGACAACAATCAAACAGGGAATGTGTGGAAAAAAGAAAACATGCTAAGTTCCTGATTCTGGGGAGGGAAAAAAAAGTAAACATATGGTAACCTTCTGTACTTGAATTCAAAGGGATTTCTCTTGTGCTTAATGTTAAATCTCTCTTTAAGCCTTTGCTGTATCATATTTTGCTTAGTTTCTTGGTGCCTGCTGTTGGAGATAAACAGATAGTGAGATTTTCCAAAGTGCCTTGGCATGTGAGACAACTAAGCATAGGAAAAAAATCAGATCCACCAAATAAAGTACAGCTCCTCTGACACTGACCATTTGAATGTTGGGTTTCCAGTCTAGCAGCTTAAGCCCTGTTTCTGCTTAGTGCTGAGCAGAGGGAGCAATTCATACCTAGGGTTAGGGGATAAATCACGCAGCAAAAATGTCTCAAACCCCTGAAGTTAGAGGAAACCTAAGTGACGGATCCAGACTAGCTGTCTGATTCCTGGAGAATAAAGATAAATGGGAACAACTTAAATTAATGTTTCCTAGCTTAACAAGGCACCACATATTGCAGCTCAGTCATGCTTTGTCACTCTGAGCACTGGTCTTGCTTCACGTAGCAAGAAAGACTGTGAATCAAAAAATGCTCTTCAGTTTCCCATTCTTGTCTGCTTGTTTCTTTTCTCATAATTGTGTTTTGTAGGAAATACAGTATTAGCAAACATCTTTTGATGTTTAGAAACTTGTGTTATAAACAGTTTTAGCTTCTAGTTTTGCACCACACACATAGATGCACCCACAGGCACTTCCTATTGAATTCTTATTCCTGTAAGCTCAGATACTGGCTCTGTAAAATGTATATTTGAAAAAAATAATAAATGTTAAATACAATCGGTCCCCTTCAGCTCCTGTCTCTGTTTACATTTGTGGTGTGATTCAGCAATCTGCCTCTATTGAGCAGATCATACCAATAAGTGAGTTACTTTTTTAAATGTGCACATTCCCTAACCATTTTAAAAGCATAAAGAAGAATGTTTAGCAATTGTAGGTGACACAGTTTCCATGGCATACTTTGGGTCTCTCTTCCAACAGATTGTATTAAGTACATGAAGACAAACTCTGTGTTTATTCATTATATATTTTCATTTTCAATACTAAAATAAAGCCAAAAAATCTGATGAAGAGGTAAGAAGTAAATTGAATCTTTTTATCAGGTAAGAGCTCGTTTTTCTCCTTTTTCTTCCCATTAGCCAAATGCAGATTGCATGGATGATATACCTCCAGACTTGGAAGCATCCATAGGAGGACCACCGACGAACCAGATCACAGGAGCCAGTGACATTACCGTGAATGAAAGCTCTGTGGCCCTGGATCCCCCAGCCCGGACCGTGGGAGCGCTGCAAGTCATCCAGGACGTAGACTCCTTTCCTCAGGCTGGCGAGAGTAACTTCACAACAAGCAGTAAGTTCCAATTTCTGGCAGGATTTGCACTGAAATAAATGTGTAGAAACCCCAACCACAAACCCGTCTCTAGTGAGCAGCCTTTGAGGGCTTCTCATTGGAGCAATGGCCTTATTTTAAGCCCAGCAGGAATCTACAGGGTAAGGAAATTTAATTATCATGTGTTCTGCTATACTGGACTGATGGTCAGAGTTCCTGTACTTGAAAGCCTGAGTGAGTTAAACAACACTAATGATTTGTACAATAACAAAAGGAGAATTTTACATGTATTTGAACAAGTAATTCTCAAAATGTCTGCATGTCTCTCTATTCCTAAAAATTATGTTCTCTGTTGAAAAGTTGCTTCTGACTCTTTAAAAGAAATGTTGTCAGCTGTTTTGAGTGAGGACTGTGCTAGTCTAAAATTCTCAATTTTAGGCAAAATAGCAGATCAGTAGAAAATACCTATCTATTTGATACCAGTTGGTGTACTGACAAGACTATTATAGAAAATCACTAGATATACTTGAAGAGAGGTAGAGGAATGTGATAAAATACAGTTTTGTGTAGGTTCTGGAAAAAATACACATTTTCAGTGGTTTCTAGGTACTGCTATGGTCCTGGCCATGAAAAGGAAGGTAAGTAATAATATCATATGTAAATTCAGGAGATGGCACTAGGCTGAAATTATTTTACATTACTCTTCCTACTCTGTGGAGAGACTTGATAATCCCATTTTCTCTCATGTGGTCATGCCAGTGTCATGGAAGTGAAAATAACTTCTAGAAAGACTGGACTTGTGACCTTAGATACAGGTGACCCAGATTTTTACATTCTGTTTTGTGGATTTCAGGTTTCAGGTTTGGTCCTGTTATGGTCTAAGTTCTGGATCCAACAAGGGGTGAGCAGCAAGGTTATAATCCCAGCCCTCTTCCATGGCCAGCTGCCAGCTTGGGGCATTCAGTTTTCTCAACTCTCCTTGAGTGTTGGCAAGAGATGTTCAGAACAAGATGGGATTTTGTTGCTTCCAATAATTGTATTGAAATGCATTTAAGGCTGATTTTAAAAGCAAAGGAAAGATGGCATCACAGTGTAATAAAGACTGGGCTAAATGCTGGTCTCTGCTCTGCCCTTTAGCACTCCAGCAGCCAGTAGATCCTCTCATGGATAATGGTCCATGCTCCACAGTTCTCTGCAAGATTCACACTGTTAAGGCTGGGAAGGAGGGCTGTGGCGTGCCCCTTACCCACACAGCTGTATGACACATGCTGGGAAAAGCCAGCAGCCTGGTCCCAAGCCCAGCATGAGAGCAGTCTGTGCTTTTCATCCCAGGATCTTCTCAGGCTGAGAAGCAGCTCTTCTGGTTTCTCAGCAGGAGTAACAATGGTGTTGAGGCTGCCAGGAAGCACAAGAGCTTGGTAACTCTCCAGGCACATTCTTCCCTCCAGATTTGTTTCAAGAGATTGCAGAAGGACCAAACACATTTTCAATTCATTTTCCAAGTTGCCAGCTAAGTTAAGGTGAAAAACCTTCTCAGAGCCAGCAGAATTCTGCAAGGCTGCGAAGATGTTTGATTTTGCCTTGGTGCCCTTTGTTTTCCACCTTACCCTCCATTTTCCCCTTTACCTTTGATAATATTGGACAATAGATCCGAAGACTGGACAATCCTGAGGGCTGGCAGCAGAGCCCACAAACAAGGAACTTACATCAAGACCAGGTACACAGACGGCCAACTATGGAGCATCAGGAGATCATCATCACCTGAAGAGACTGGCCAGGCCCCGGGGAAGGACTGTGAAAAGAGTTTTTTCCTGGTTATATGAGAGAGAGCAAGAGAAGAGAGCAGGGAGAGAAAACTGGCCAAGCTCTATGAAGGTTGTAAACCTCACACTGTCAGAGGTGTGGGTGAGGAAGCAGCCCTTTCCAGTGGCTTTGAGAGGAAAGAAGGCCTGAGGAAAGCTCAAAGCACCTTGGGACCTTCCAAAAGCAAATATATGCCTGCCTTTGCTGTCGTTGTCACACAGTCACTCAGGGAAATCTGGTTTAATGCTTAGTTAGCTGCTGTCATTCATTCATCATTGATGTGTAGACATGAATCTTCATCTGAATTTCTCATCTAAAGGGCAATGTAGTACTTGAATATTTGTCAGTGATGGATGAGCAAGTTCCCCTGCTGTCATCACCACATCCAGCATGGTACATTTTGCAGTAGTTCCCAGAAAAGTCACTTAGTCACTTTTTGCAGCTGAGCTGCAGCAAAGAAGAGGTCTTTGGTTAGGGTTAGGGGGACAGTTCCAGCAGTTATGGGAATTTGGCTCTCTAGTTGCCTCATGTGAATTTGGAGAGTTCAGGCAGCCTGAATGGTAGAACTTGGCATTGTAGGCAATCTGCACTCTTAAGGCAATGAAAGGGGAACATCCAGGACCTTATATATGGTTGTGGTATGAATCCAAATGCTAACTACATCAGGGGGCAACTGTAGGCTAAATAACTGGGTCATAGCTGTCAGAGTAGATGGACCTTTATAGGCATTGTGCCTGTTTATTGTATTTCTCATATCCAGAATGCTCTGTTACGCAACCACAGAGCTTGCTGAGCTTGCCCTTTCTGTGAACTAGCCTGCCTGGGAATTTGTAAGTGATGACATTGATTGCTCCTAGGAATCTTTGCTGAAGTTGCTAGGTTCTGGCCTCTTAATATAGCATTACTGATGCAAACCTACTCCAAGGCTGAATCGGCATTACAAGTTTTTTCCTCCTTGTTATTGAATCTGTGCAGACTCCAAGACTCTAGTGCAGCCTTGACGTGGCCTCCTGCACCCAGCACCACAAGGCCTTGCATCTTGCCTTGTTCCTCACAAAGTTCAGTGGTCCAGGAGGTAAAGGACTTGCCACCTTCTTTCCACCCACTTCTGCAACACTTTTGACTTCATATTGTTGTTACATTCTTTTTTGTCTGTTGATTAATAGTTCTGGTATTGTTGTCTTGGTTTGGGTTTAATTTCCCTTCCTGTGTTTCCAGTGATTATTCAGAACCAGAAGACCTCCCACAGTGTGTCTGGAGGGAGGGTATTTCCAAAATACTGTTCACATTGGGTAAAATTCTGTCTCCATGGTGGTAAATCTCCTGCCTACTTCAGTGGGGCCAGATTTTAATTTCTGGAACTCAACCAGTGCTTTTCTTCTTATTTCTGTGTGTATGCTCAGCAGACATCTTGCTTTCTCTCCCTCCCTTTTTGCTCCCCATGCTCCTGGTATCTGTGGGACCCTCAGAAATGTAGTGTACTGTGAACATCTGGATGGGACTAAGCCCTAGGGTTCCTTGCTAAACCAAGAATCTCCTTTTTAGTAGCACTGAGCACTTAAAAATGGGCCAGCATTTTCTCTCGTCTGCCTTTTAGCAAGATCCAAGCCTCCATCAAGTCTCTTGTGCATATCCACAGCCCAAAGTCTCTTCAGTATTTAGTCTTAGTGACTGTTTGCCTTCTGTGGTGGAATATTGTGTAGGATCCTGGGATAGCATGTTGTTATTTCTGTAACAGGTTGCTGAAAAAGTATTGATGGAAAAAATGAAAAACTGGAGTTTTTTTTTAAAAAGGGGGGGAGAGTGGGTGGGGGAAAATAGTGTGACATATGTAAGAGTTCATCTCAGCTGACTTTACTGCTCTGATTTTTTCAGCTCTCCAGAGCATATGACAGATGACAACCTAAGGATCTTTTTCAACAATAATGTGTCAGAGAAATCTGCGGTGCCTAATTTTTAGTAGTGAGTTTTGCAAAATGCTAACATTTTTGGAAATCTCAGTGCAGGTGGAATTTCCTGCTCTACATATGATATGAGTGTAAGCTGGACTTGGCTAAGATCTGAACTTGAAGGAGCTCTGGCTACACCAGCTTCAGAGGGTGGATTTAAGATTTGAGGAGACCATTGCAATATTCTTTGGGTCAGACTCAGCTGGGATTGAATAATATGGTTTAAAAAGGTAGTTTGCCAAGAAAGTAGCATCTAGATATTCTAAAGGTATGGTGACAGTGGCAGGTGAAAAGTAGTTACTGGATTTTATTCTTTTATAGCATCCATGGTCATTTATCTCTTTCAAGCAATTACTAATTTCTGCAGTAAATAATGTGCACTGTCTTTGCCAGTAAAGTTTATCTCTTCATAAATACTTCCCATTTTTCAACTTAGACAAGCTTTTATGCTCCATTCATCCATTCAGCATGTTCCATCTCATCCCGCCGCACAGGGCCTCAGAAATCCCATTAGTACTAGCTCTGTAGATGGAGGGAGATCCATAAATAATTCTACTGCACACATGAGCAGGACTTTTAGTGTGAAAAACCACAAACTTTCCCCCAAGGTGTCATATCACCTGCAAAGTCCACAGAGTTTGGCACACTGTACTACAGTGTGGGCAGTCTAGACAATATCAGTAGTTCATTTTCTGCCTCTCATTTTGTTCTTTCCATAATACCCTGCCAATGTACAGCTCATCGTGACTGTTAGGACCCTTTCAAATCTCTTCTGATAGCTCTTCATTAAGTCTATTAATATAACTTTTCAGGTAATTATTTTGATCTGTGTATGTCTAAAATATCTTTCTGAAGAATAGTCAGCCTTTGGAAGAGGATGAAAGTGCATGATAAGAATCTGATCCACTGTTGTCTTGTAACCATTTGACTGTTCCTCCTTGCTATGAATAGTAGGGTTTTATAGGTGGAATGTAAAGGGGGAGGAAAATGTGGAAAAACTCCCTAGACACTAGTTAGTGCAGCAAGTTATTAACACTTGCATTAACAAGTCCTAATACTGTCCCAGAGAGAGAATACCGATGGGACCTAGTTAAAGACTGAGCAGATTGGGCCCCTTGTGCCTGGCATGTGACATAAATCCTGGTGGTTCTACTAAAATCTTGTGGGGATATTGCACTAAATAATTGTCACAGACCAAAACTTCCAATGAGCTGAGTTCCTAGATTGTTTTGGGACCAACACTGATGCCAACATAGCACTGATGGTTTG